ATTTACTGATTTTTTTCTAAATTGCTAATTGAGAAAGAACACATATGGTAACAACATAAACATTAAAACTCATTTTACGATACTTTATATGTATTTTAGTGAAACGTTCCCGTCACAGATGCTTGGCTTTAGCCCATGAACCCTTTACATTGTAATAAGTTTTAAGCCATAATACAAAAATTACATGCGGTATTCAAATCCGAAGTACGTGAAGTCCCCCCCCCCCCCCCCGGATGATAGTCATATACATTGTTTACAGAAAATGCACTGGCAAATTTTATTTTCCGTACGTTCGTTTGCTACGCTCCTGGGTACCCATATCTTATCCGCATGAATAAAATTTGTTGAGACTTTCACAAAATCTCTGTTACATAACGCTATTGTGACCTCCTATTTTACGTTTTCACCGGAAAAATATTTCGGGTTTCCCATAGCATAACATGGACAGTGTTATTCTTTTTATAACATTTTTATAACATTGAGGTAAACCAATCTTTTATCTGCAACCGCTTTCATACGACTAAATAAAATTTAATGACACTTTCAGAGATTCATTATTACATATTGTCATTGTGCATCTCCTATTTCACCTTTTGATCTGACACTTATTTTGGGTCTCCAAGAGCAAAACATGGATTTTGCCATTACAATCAATTAGGAGGCAGGAATGAGTTCAGTGCTTATGGCACCCCTTGTTTTTTAGAAACAAATTTCTAGCTAATCAGATTCAAAGATAATATGTAGTGGTGTGAAACTAATTCTCTCAAAGGCGTTTTAAAAGTTTAGATGCTGTTGTCGGATGTAATAAAAGTTTTCCTGCCTGATTAACCACCACTACTGCATGGGCTCCATAGTCAGCTACACAGATATCTAGGTTCCTGTTCTCATTGACATACTTACTTTATATACCAGAAGAATACAAAGGTTTTTCTTCACTATCAAACTGAATGGTGTGTTTCTCTGTGGAGCCAGAGTAACCTACAACTTTTGTTTGTTTATTATCATCACTGTTCATGGTTACCAGAAGGTCACCAGAGGAGGTACTACAGACATAGTAAGGTCTCCACCCCCGTAGTCTGATCACTTCCTGTATCTGTTCATTCTTCAACATGTTAACAGTTCTTATATGGGGGTCAGTATAAACTAGATCTCCACTCCTTGTCACTGCTATATCATTAGGTATGTTTCCAGACCTGGTTTGGATTGACTTTGGTGGTTCACCTGTAAGTTGCAAAGTTTCATGATTTTTTCATCTCCACATGTCCAGATTTCATCCTCGTGGAGACAAGAAACACCGTAAAGATTGTTATACCCTGTCTCGATGGTTGTGATGAGAACTGATTCAAAACACATTGGTTTTACTGGAGGACAGGATACAGCTTCTGAGGTCTTCACGCCCATCTGTTGTTATGGATAATGCTGACAGGGAACCAAACATTTGATGGAGCTGTTCTGTGTTGATCTGATTAGGAGAGAAACTTGGTAATGAAACATTGATTTTAGGAGGTAAACTTCTGAATTCAGCATTCCTCTATTTGTATGCTGAGGTTAAGGAGACATCATGATCATTGGAGTCCAGTATTTTCTTTAGATCAAGAATACTCTGCTTTACATAAGCAGTAATCTGTTTAATTTCATTCCCGTGTTTATTGAGAGCAGCCAAGTGTTTTGTTTTCATTTCATCAATATCAGATTTCTGTTTGTTGACAATGATGTTTATTTCTCTGTGCCAGTCCTCTCCTTGTTTGGTAACAGCTGTTGTCAGTTTCTCATACTTTCTATCAAGACGTGCCTTTTCAACATCTATTTCTAATGTCATTTCTTCATATCTAGGATATAAATACTTTTCCAATTCTTGGAGGTCATTTATCATTTCTTCCTTTTTGGCAATGAAATTCTGACTTATGTCAAAGAATGTGTGCCCTTTATGTTTGTCTGATACACAAAAAGTACATACATGGATACCACAATTCTCACAATGGAGTTCACAAGGCTTGCCTTTGTGTGCGGAACATTTATGGAAATTCAGTGTACTTCCCTTTTGTTTGTATGGAACCACTTTATGTTCTTTGGATAAATCAGAGAGATGCTCCCCTACACAGGCCTTACAGAGTTTGACATGACACAAGTCACAGTACATTGGAGGAACAGGAGTCCCACACAGGTCACAGCGCAGGACATCCTGGGCACTGAACCGAGGGTCCATTATATTGGGGGTTTCTTACATATAATGTCTATAAAGGATGAATTAAAAGTCTCTTATTAGAACTACTATATTTTAGACAATCATTATATATTCACATTTATAATTTCACCTTATCCTTGAGTAATTAAAAATATTAATATCTAATAATAATAGAAAGCATCAGTGGGTACCGCTTACTTTATCATAAAACGACACATAATGTTATCACTTGCTCGGCAAATCACTTTTTGAAAAAAAAAATTAAAATACAAATACGTATTTGACAATGAGGTTAATAAAAGGTAAGAAATTACAACCAGTCTTACTAAGTAAAGATTTTTTTTATTGACTTTCACAAGTATACAAAGCAAACTATATATATAAGCAAAGCATATAAACACATATACATATACACGGCAAATTTCTTGGTATATTCATTCGTTTAAAACAGTACAAAGTTCACTTGTAATCATGAAAGTTTTTTTTTTTTTTTTTTTTTAAAATGGGAGGGGGGGGGGGGGTCAGCAGTAGTAGAAAAATGTAAAGATTGAATGACCCCCCCCCCCCAAAAAAAAAAAAATAAACTAAATAAATAAATATCACCCATAGTGGCTACATACCTAATTCTTCAGTTAAGTTGATCTATTTGTGCGATATCGATGGGTATTTAAAGTTGGGATTAACTGAACTTTGTATTTAAACAATAAAGACAATAAGGGTACATTCATTTTATTATGACTATCAGGGCATATATTCTGGTCTGATAAAGTTCTTACTTAATGAAGACGGGTCAGTCAAAAAGATAGCTCATATAAAGAATTGTTTAAATGTTTGTCCATTTCTATCGTACATTTATTGTACTGGCAACTTCTGATGACATTTTAATATTGTCTAATCTACAAGAGGTTATCAAAGCGTTCGTGGACTAGCTCCATAAAATTTAAAATGCTTTTGGTACATCGCAGAATTCTGGTATAATATTTTTTATCTATAGAGTGAATTACATATCCTTAGTTTTTTGAGCTTTTCTGACCTAAATACTTTTATTTTTTCTTAATTAAAAGTATAATTTTATGTTCTACTTTTAATTAAGAAAAAATAAAAGTAAACGAGGCCAAATAATTTCAGTATGCCCCATTCACAACGAAAATATTGCCAAATACTCGTACTTAGATCACTTCCTGGATCGGGCGGGGGGGGGGGGGTTAAGATTTGAACAAATCTAAATCTTCACTACCAGACACAATTCAATTCAATTTATTGACCAATTAATTAAGGGCCCTAGTGGGGCAAAAAGAAAGTACATTGATAACGTTACTTAATGAAGACGGGTCAGTCAAAAAGGTAGCTCATATACATTACCTGGTCCAGGTTCTGTAATTTTTCTTAAACCTTTATACTTTTAGGAATTGAACAAAATTTACTCTGGTCATGCAAAAAATCTACATTTGTGAATTTTCCCCTTTGTGTGTTACAGTGTCTCATTTAATATAACTGAATACTGGTATACGGTATGCAGAGACATAAATTATTTATGTTTCTGACGGTATGTTATTAATTCATTTTTTTGTTTGGTTATTTGCTCATCTTCGTACCAGGCTATATTTGCCTCTGAGTCAGTCCTGATAATAAGTCATCATGCACCGATCCAGGATTACATTTTCATGGGATCAAAGGGGCCAACCCTGCGCAATAAAAAAAATCCAACCCTGAAATTCCTTTTTGAAAAACCCATTCGAGATTCGAGAGTTCGCGTTTTGTTTGTTTGTTGTTTTGTTTTTGTGTGGGTTTTTTTTTTTTTTGTTTTTTAAAGGGGGGGGGGTCAAAAGTCTAATTATTTATTTTCCTTGCGTATAGTACTATTATCTTTTTTAAATATACAAATCCGAAGGAGACATATATGCATGATGTATATTAATATATATGATCCGTCCACTTGTCATTTTTTTTTTGGGGGGGGGGGGCAAGCAGACATAGGGGTTGCACTTGCAAATTATTAGAGACAAGGTTTTTGCTTTATATAAAAGAGTATTGATGAAGCTACACTTATTTGAATCATACCATCGCTTATTTATTTATGACAAGTCCTGCATGTAAACAGTCTACTGCATCAATTTGGGCGACTTCGATTCGTACCCGAGTACGTACTCGAGTTACGTGAGTTTCAATCGAACGACCATAGTTACTACTCAAAATACGTCATATGACCTTATGAACTCTACCCAAGCTAACCCAACCATACAGTAGGATTACTAGAGTTTTGATATGGCGGCGTCGAAAGAAAAACCGAACGTAGGAATTTTTTTTTTACTAAATATTATGTTTAGCATCGCTTGTCGTTATAAAAGGAAACTTCGAAACCCCCTTTCAACATGAACACTTTATGATTTATATGAAAATATGTTTATTTGATTAGATTTTTCAGGCTTACTGCTCGATAACAGCAGAGACTTAAATTCAAATTTGAAACCAAAAAAGCTCAGAGCTGAAAAAGAAAAACATTTCAATTGCAGCAAAAGCTATAGAAAAAATTAACTCAACAGATGATGTCAAAATGGACCTATTCGACCGCCTTTTAAAACTCATAGAGGAAATTCATTTTATTTTCGCTACCCTTCAAACTCATATGAGTTCGCTTGAAAACCACCTGTTTGTGTAAACATCCGGTCATGTGACGTCAATCAAGAGTTAATACTCGGGTATGAATTGAAGTCGCCCTTTAAATTTGTTGTTTACGTTAGTTGAGTATTCCGGATATCATACCTTTACCTTTTAGGTGTTACTCCGTCCCGTCGCTATAGAAGTGATTATGACGCTACTGAATAATAACTTCACACGCCAAATAACACTGCACTCTGGGTTTTAAATCTCCTTTTTTTATATCGATTTGTTTGATTTCCAGTGTTTGATAATCAGGATTACTGCACTTGTAACACCGTAAGTTTGGTTAGCAACCCAGAACACCAGAAAATCTGTACCTAAAGCAGGGGAAACGAGTGTCAAACGGACGGGAAATGCCGACAGCCTTGGACCAAAGGCCGGATGAAATAGGGTTCCCCCATCTCCAGTCATTCAACCCGAACCCGAAAACTCTAACGTGGGAGCGTCTGGAGAACAAACGCCTGAGCAAACTTGGACTGGGATCCAAGCGATATTCTCGCCATTTTCAGCGATTTCAGAAGGAATCCACCACCATGTCGGATCCGCTCCCCGGGCCAATAATAAAAGAAGGAGGGCAGAGCTATGTTATCATCGGGGGAGAGAAAGTGAAAATGAACTCGATTGCCCCCTTTTACACGGAGGAGAAGCCTACGTGTGGATATTTCTTCAGTCGCCAAACTAACAATAAGAAGAAGAAGTTCGGTATTCCCCCCAGTGATCTTGTTAAGTGGAGGTCATTTGTGCAGTAATTGGATCCGCTCCCTGAGAAAATATAAAAACTAAACAAAAATGATTATTAGAACATAATTCTTGCTTCTTATCTATGCGGATTATTCCTATTTTTAGAGCAGATTTTATTTATTTTCCTAGGAGTGCATTCTTTGTGAATACCTGGTTCATTTTGCTTTATTTTTTTTTTCTTGATGTGTGGAAATACAAAACTTGTTGAAACAAATGTGCACACTATTTTGAAAGGAGCTGCTCAAGTGAGATTCTGAATGTTAATTAGTGCTTGTTCCTCAGAAAAGTATTGATTGGAGTTTAAAGCGAAAGTATTAAATCTAATTTTGTGTGTTTTATAACGTGTTTCCAATTTCTTGTTATTGGCCATTGATTATCTAACAGTATTACAATTTTTGCTCGAAACTTGCATTTGTTTTTGTTTTTGTTTACAAATTCTATTTATATACTAACCATGTTATTTGTTTATATTGTCAGTATTACCCCACGCGTGCTTCTATGTACACCCTTTTGCCATTTTTTACACCCTTTTTTCATGTTTATAAAATTATTTTATACTGTATTGCAAAGTATTATTATAAACACCCTATTTTCTGTGATATAGTTGTACATATTAATGATTTGACTGAATTTCACCTCAAAGCTTAAATAGTCAGAGTGTATTTTTTTTTTATTATCATAGCAAACATCTATGTTTCTGAAGAATGTTTAAAGCAATAAAATTAATTTTGCATAATATTCCTCGGCTTTTTGTCCTTGTTGTTCATACAGGAATGCTTAGGTCATCATTAAAAAAAATTTCGTTTGATGTACACTGACCCACATTTTTTTCAAAGTAGACATTTACATGTTAAAGGGTTCATTCATTTATTTCTTGAATTAATGTATAAATTTATTTTTGGTTATCTGATAAATTGAATTTGATTTTTGTTACGAGAACCTGCAGTCTTTGCATTTAAGTATTCATTATACATGTATATACTTTGGATGAGGCCAGATTAAATATTTATTGTGATAAAAATGTTCATTGAAAAATCTTTTTTTATGAAATTATAAATGTTTTAAAGAACACATTATCATGACAATGTCTTTTTCCCTGGAAACTAAAAAAGAAAAAGATTAAAGTACTGAAAAAATAATTGGGTAGGGGTAATCTTGATCGCAGGGTCCACCAAAGTACTTCAAACAAACTATTTTTTATTGTTGGCCTTATTTTTCATTGTATTTAATATGTTCAATTGATACATAATTATCAATCAATTGGACAATTCACAACTTGTGTTGAAAGTGAAATTTATAATGAATTAAGACAGTTGAATAGACAAATTTACAAATTCATACCATATTGTAAGTTTTCTTGTATTATTGTCTCTAAAACAGATTTGAGTACAATTTCTTTTTACAATAGCAGAGATAAGCTAAGTTAAGAAAATAAGTGTATGTGTCTTGTTTATTATACATGACTGTATTAATTCAACACTAGGTTATTGACAGGGGATGGGGGGATTATTTACTGGATGATACAGAACTATCACAGAATCTTAATGTGTTTTGATAAAGCAGATTACTGATTAAATACAACATACAATGAGGGTTTATAAAATAAGAATACCAGGAAAACAAGAAGGTGTGTAGGTATTTAAAATCAAATCAATCAGTACTTATGTCAGACATAATTTTAATAAATACCATAAATACAAAAAAAAAAAAAAAAAAAAAAAAAAAATTCATCAGTTTGGCTCACTGTTCCAAGTTAATGTCTGGTTAGCAGGGATTGGCAACCAGTCAAGTTTTCATCACATTTATTTTTAAAATCTACACAATTTCGGTTAAGTATTATACAGCTTTGCATTTAAATTCATGTATTTATTGTCTCCTGTTTTTAAAATCTTCTTTATTCAGGGGCTTAGACTACATGCAATAATAATTAAAGTAAACTTTGATTTACAATGGGCTTAGATGAAACTGAAATGTAAATATTAGCAAGGTTATAAAAGAATAAATACCTCACTCAAGATGATTTTAAAATATCTTTAAAATGTATACATTTACAATTTGACATGTACATCTATAAAAGAAAGCACTCTGCACATTGTGCTATATATACTCATAAATTATTTCATGTTTCACTTTTTATATTAACTTGAAAATATTGTACACAAATGTTAATCTATAGACAAATCACACAACCAAGAAATAGCTGTCATTAAAACATACATGTAATTCAAAATTGTAAGCTACTTTAGGAGTACTACCATGTATTTAAAAAAAATATTTACACACATTTTAAAGACCCACTCTCCCCGTTCCACTTCTTTTTCCTGACTGTATGTGGTGGTATGAAAAGATTTAAGATTTGAAATGATGAGATTGCTAATAAAAATCTTTTCGGAAAACTTTTTGTGTGATGAACTTTTGTAATCTAAGTCTGTGGAAAATAGCCCCCCCCCCTTCACCTTCCTTGAAGATATGTATAATTATCCAACAGGCCAGGTTTTCCTACTCAAATTTTCATTTTTTATTTTTATTTTTTTTTTGAGATAGAAATACTGTTTCACACACGAATCTGGGGGTGTTTATAGACAGGGCAACCCTCTTTCTCCTCAATATATACACATGTATGGATTATATATTTATTGATTTATAAAATTATCATTTTTTTTTATTTTTTTGTTTTCTAAAATACTAAAATTGATATTCAATTATATGTGTATGCAACGTGGACATAAGGTGTTTAAATAGGTTCTTAATCTGATATCATTAATTAATCTTCTAGAATACACAATGTACAATGACGAAACGTCATAAAAAGGTTAAAAAACAATAATTAGTGCGGTATATTTCATTAAACAAGAGAAACCCTCTATATGCTCTGCCCCCCTCCCCCCTCCTCCGGCCCTCCCCCAGCGTCGGTCTATGCATGTACATTGTACATGTATATTGGAATAGGGCTTCATGCCTGCAATAGTCTGTGCAGAATTTAGTGAAAATATTCAAAAATCAGCTGAGACCGAGGAATGGAGATTCCCTAAATTCTGTACGTCATCGCCTCATTCAGTCGTTAATTCAAAGACGGATCAACTATTGTTATCGATTGATTTAAAGCATTTAACACGTACGCAATCCTCAATAAGATTAAAACACAATGCAGGAATATTTTGTCAGCTAACTCAGGGTCTCTGGAAATCATTGTTCTGTTGGCACAATGCTCTAAAAGATTAAGAGGATAGGTCATTTAAGCTGGCTAGCTAAGTTCAGGAAGCTGTACATACATAAGTCGTTTGAAAAGTTTGAAAGAATACATCTTAATGATAATCATAATTTGGATATCCTCTGCCTAAAAAAGGCCTAATCCATGATTTTTTTTATAAGGGAATTTATATTTTCACTGAAAGAAAACAAACAAAACAAAAGGCCCGTGGGCCACCACACCCATCTGAGAAACTCTGGCACTGCTATTCTTAACCTGATTTCCCCTTTGTAATCTCTATAGTGGCCCCGCCCTACTCCCGGGAGTGGGGGGGGTGGTGGTGGGGGGGTTGAACAGTTAGAATCAACAGTGCCCAAGGATCGATGCTTCCACATAAGTTTCAGCTTTTCTGGCCCAGTGGTTCTTGAGAAGAAGATTTTTAAAGATAACGATTTTTCCGATATATTTCAATGTAAAAATTGGATTCACTATTGTGGCCCCATTCTACCCCTGGGAATCATGAATTGAAAAATTTTGAATTTAGAATCTACGTATACACTACTTGAGGATGCTTACACATAAGTTTCAGCTTTCCTGGCCCAGTGATTGGTTCTTGAGAAGTGGGTTTTTCAATGACCCCATCCTATTTTTGTCTTTTCTTGATTATCTCCCATTGAATAGGGGTCTGCATGGTCCTTCATTGTAACAATTTAAATACCACTTTATCTAAAGATGCTTTGAATCAGAACTGGTTAAAATTACCCTGTGCACGTGGTTCTTGAGAAGAAGTTCAAAATGTAAAAAGTTTACAGACAGACGGACGGACGGACGGACAACGAGTGATCAGAAAATCTCAGTTGAGCTTTCATCTCAGGTGAGCTAATAAAAAGGAAATCGTAAACAGATTTAGATTTAAAGCCACATTTCTTTATATGTACGAGTCTATTTATAAATTAAGAGGAATCTAAATTTGTTTATCCTCGGAGGTGTGGGATCAACTCAGAGAAATCTAATGTTTGAATAAAATGGAACAGAGTCCCCCCCCCCTCCTCTTGTTAAACACATTTACAGCTTAGTCTGTTGGTCAGCAGGTGGAAGACAAGCAGTGAACGGGAGGGGGATGTACCCCCAATATATATCGACTATTATACTTGTACGCCCCGCCGCCCAACCCCCTTTTATTTCATGTTATATGTTAGTGACATTGTGTATTTTCAAAATATGTTCATTTTAATTAAAATCAGCTGTTAGCTTGGTTTTGTAACGTAGTACCTAGAGTTAAACAAAAAGCTGATTATATTAAGGTAGAGACCGATAGCAATCACGTGATAGAAAGTATTCGCATATTTGCACGTGCTTTTTTTCCGGATTCCGGAACGCCGTCAAATAAAAGTCTCCATTTACACATTATTGTCTATGTTACAAGATGGCTGACGAAGCGATCGAGAAATTTCCTCGACTTAGAAGACAAAGTTACCATACGTATTAAATCTTTACGGTTCTCGAAATTGAAGCATCTTCATGAGAATCAAAATAGAAGTGAGACTGAAGCCGAACATGAACATAATTTTTGGTGAAACTACTCCTTGTCCAGTGTCCGCTGCAGCACCACGTGGTTACACCGGCATCGATCTATGCCTGATGTTGTTTTCTGTATAGACATTTTAAATACCATGACCCTACAGATGTTAATTGGTATGACGGAAGAAGTAAAATTTTTGCAGAACAGATTTTTGTATGCTGTGTCCATGTCAGATACATAAGGTAAATATTAAAATTTTACGACTTTATAATATATCGATCATGACTATGGTGCTTGTTTGTTGACGCACAGGTCTGGTACAACCAGTATATTTAGCTTCAATATTACCAATAACCTTCACAGATTTTTTTCCTTCTTAAAGTAGTTTTATTTAGCTAAGAATTAAAACTTATTTCATGACCAGACTCTGACTGTAACTTCTAGAATTGAAGAATAAAACCGGACATTTCGGGTGTCAGAACATGATAAAGGCTGGATTAGTAAAAAATGTAAAGTAATCATACGTATCTGTGCCTAACACACGAGGTGGTTTTAGTTACTCAGATCAAGAAATGGAAAAACATATTTGCTTAAAGCAATATGAGCTGTATCTTTGAGAGTTTTATTTTTATGGTAAAATGTGCTATTATGATCAATTTGTATGTAATTTAAACTTTTATGATCAATGAGCCCAAAATAAAGTTTAAAAATGTTTCAGAAGAAATATTTCTGTACAACCAAATAGACAGTTTTATATATAAGAAATCATTATTGTACAGGACGACAATAATTCAATTTTGCTTCAATCAAAGCTAATAAAAAAAATCCATCGCAAATATGAGCAACAGAAATTTATAAATAATTTATCTTTCTGTCATTAAATTAGTCAGGCGGGTAGCCAGCATTGAACTGAAGTGTACACAGGAAATGGTCGGGGGTCTGGGGGCCGCCCTGAGGCCCCCAGTGGGTCCAGGGCGAAGCCCTGGTGGGGGTCCAGGGGGCGAAGCCCGCGGAAGCTCCTGGATTTTACGAAATTAACACTTAGCTAAGTTATACTTCCATGGATACTTCAGGAAGAGAAGGATAATTTGATCAAATTAATTTACTAATATACATGTATTGGTACACAGGGGCATCTTATCCACTCTGTTCTCTACTTCACATATAAAAATACACAAGGGAAGAATCGAAAGTAGCACACGATTTTTTAAAAAAGTCAAAAAACAACTTACTTGAGAAAAGTTACACAAATCCTGAAAGGAACTAGCGCAAATAATGTCCTAGTACTTATCCAGGCTAAAATATTCCAGATATATCCATCGAAAATAGCTTTTATCCAACTAAAACCCCAGCTTTCTGCACAGTGTGAAACTCTACGCCCAAGAAAAGATAACTCACCCGGATGACAATAGGGTAGTACCCGAAGTCTTCCAATGGCACTCGGAAGGCCTCGGGTACTACCCTATTGTCATCCGGGTGAGTTATCTTTTCTTGGGCGTAGAGTTTCACACTGTGCAGAAAGCTGGGGTTTTAGTTGGATAAAAGCTATTTTCGATGGATATATCTGGAATATTTTAGCCTGGATAAGTACTAGGACATTATTTGCGCTAGTTCCTTTCAGGATTTGTGTAACTTTTCTCAAGTAAGTTGTTTTTTGACTTTTTTAAAAAATCGTGTGCTACTTTCGATTCTTCCCTTGTGTATTTTTATATGTGAAGTAGAGAACAGAGTGGATAAGATGCCCCTGTGATTGGTATTGGAAAAAAAAGTTTCCAAGTGTGACAAGACAAAACAGAGAGGTAATTTAATATGTTATCATTGGAGTAAAAATATTTCAAAATATAAACGAGGGTGTGAGTCTTTTGAAAACCTTTATATTCTGATAGCTTAAACAATGTGAGAGTACTTAAATTCTATAAATTGGTAACATCAGTAAAAGAAGATATTCAAATGATCTATATTTTTTTACTTTGTTCAGTAATTTGAATTTCGCCATTTTTTTTATTTTTTTTATTTTTTTAAATTCTTTTTTTTGTTTATCGATATTAATTCATTACTTCAACGGAAATTCTTGTATAGTCGTCCGAGACCCTTGTAACTTTTTCTTTAGATCAATGTCACTTAGATCGGTTTCCTTCATCAAATATATGTATTTGTCCGAATAATCAGGATTACGCAAATTAACAGTTGAAAATGTTGGTTCAACAATATTTTCTTACTCAAGAAGTGTGGAATTCATTCCATAAAAGACTGGATTTTAACGATATTCTGCACAAAAAAAAATTGAATAGGAACAGTAAGACGTAAAATAATTTGCAAGACAGATACTGCCCCTTTTTCTCCGAATAAATATCTCTCTTTTTTAAATTTTTTTCTGTCTTTTCTTTTCTTTCTTCCTTTTTTTTTTTTTGAAAATAATGTGTACGCAAATGTCAAACATGCAGCTCATATTGCTTTAAATTGTTCAAATGCAGAAATGTATAAACTTTCTCTGCTTTCGATGGCAGATGCTTTTTTATTATCATAACCCCTTTTATAATTGATAGTGGATATTTACTTGTAAATCTTTTGTATTTTAAAATAACAAGCAAATTGTAAAAAGTTGCATTGAAAAAAAAGAAACAACTAATTTTTTTTGTTTTCCCTTATGTAATTGTTTTATGCTCAAAAGGGCCCTGATTATAAACAGATATCGTATTCATAGATTATAAAAAAATATTTAATACTACAGGTGAAGCAAGCTATGAACTAGACAGTGTATTCAGCTTTCTGTGCTGAAATAATGTGACCAAATCAAGTGTCACCTGGAAAGAGGAATATATCAAGGATGTCTTTTACATTTACTCCAAAATAGCCATTGCTTTGTTTTTTTTTTCTTTCAATTTACACTTGCACATGTATCAGGGAAAATCCAGAGTTTTTTTCAAGGGGGTGGTAAAAAGAGGTGTTTTATAATACATGTATAAAAAAAATTGAAATTTATGATTTTTAGTCCTTGTATTTTTTATTTAAACACCATAATGTACATACAGCATTAATTATTGTATACATAAAGAAGCATTTTCTTAAGTCAATAATTTCTCAAAGATCATACTAATATTTCAGGAAAGTTCAAGCCAGATCTGCTATAGCAAACTGAACATAAAGTGGCATATTTGTGTGTCAGGAAACAAGGAACATGTAATGCTGGACTGATCGAGAATCGAAACGGGGATCCCTGCATCACCACTTACATGTAGGTGTTCTATTGACTTAAATACATGTATGGTTTAATATTTGTGTATAAACATATAAAAAGTCATGTTGTAAATTGAATTCAATTAATCAAGTATTTTAATTCCACATATAATAGTTAGGTTGCTAGTTGTATACTTGTATATGCTTTGATGTGTCACTGAAAGGTACATGTTGTTTTTTATTTCCACAAAAACTTGATCCTTTAGTATTACATGTAACTCTTGAACAGTTTGTGCTGAGTCTTTGTATTTCACGCTTATTTTTTTCCTTTAACCCCATGGTCTTGGCCTTAGAGTGTAGCCTATATTTAGAAACTAAAATATTTTATCTTTATCCTTATATACTAGTTTGTTTGATTAAGACAATTCATTAATAATTTCCTTGGGAGCAAAAGTGCCCAGATAATGAGGCTGATTTATATGCAATCAATTTAAAAAAATACATGATATTATATAAATAAGGTATCCCAAAAGTGTTTTATATTCATATAGACATAGTCATAATATATTTGCAATGTAAGAAAGAAGTAAAACATGTATTTTCATTCTCATTGTATTAAAATATTTTGATCTTTTCAGAAAAAGAACTACATGTACCAGAAGGAGACAGTAAAGAGGAACGGACATATCACACCATAAGACGTGCTTCAAAATCTGAATATACAGAATGAATTTTGCTTACTGCAGATCCTTCTGAAAGAACACGTTTGTTGTATTGACATAAAAACAACTGAATTGTCAGGATCCTTGAACATGACGCATTTGGCTGCATATGATGGCAATTAAAAATGCATACGAGTTTACATTGATCTTTGTTAGCTAATAAGACAAAAAGCAAAATAGCAAGTTTACCTATTACCGTACATGTACTGAATGTATTCACTTTATTTTTTTTTGAACTACATCATCAGTTTAAAAAAAGTACAGTAGCACATGTATACAGTTTATGGTGGGATTCCTCTAACTTTCATGAATCTGTTTGCAAAATCTGTACTTTAAAGTTTCAAATTATTACCTCTAATACAATGTCTGTGTTTTTTTTTTTTATAATTACATGATTTTTGTATGTATGTAATGATAACCAAATCACCCAATTTTCCCGCATTTTTTACCATGTATTTAGCTTTTTTTTTTTTAACATGCTTAAGTGTATTTATATCTGACAACTGATGACCAGGCAGTCTTCATTTAACAGTGTAATTCATAACACATTTTAGCTGAATATTTTTAGGTCACCTGAGTAAACTCAGGTGACCTATTGCTATCTGTTTTCGTCCGTCGTCGTGCGTCGTGCGTCGTGCGTTGTGCGTCGTGCGTTAACATTTGAACATTTTCAGCTTCTTCTCTGCAACCGCTCAACCAACTTAAACCAAATTTGGTATAAGGCATCTATGGGTGAAGGGGAACAAAAATTGTGAATTTCATGATCCCTGCCCCCCTGGGGCCTGAGGGGTGGGGCCAAAACCACTAAAATTAATGCAATCTTTAAAAATCTTCTTCTTTACTCCTGGACATCAAGCAGTCAAACTGTTTGTATTATTGTAATCAGCATTAAGCCCTCTACCTAAATTGTGAAATTCATGGCCCTTGGGCTCAGAGTTCAGGCTCAAGGGTGGGGTCAAGGTTGGCTGTTTGAATGTTGAAAATGCATAATTTATTATATCTTTTCCTTCGAACTCCCAATTTTCAAGAAGGGTAAATGTTTTATGATTATATTGAACAATGAGTTCTCAACTAAAGTTGTGAAATATATGGCCCCTTAAGGTTCAGGGTTGGATCATGTCCCAGGGTCGGACTAATTGAAAATAGGTTTGTAAATAACTTTGTAATAAATGAAAATGTAATTAAAAAAATGAAATAATTTTTCTATATTGTGATGTGAAAGCAGTAAAATTTATGCATGAATAGCCTTCAACACTGTGGAATGAATGACTCCTCGGTCTTCATGGTCTTGGGTCCAGGCCCCAGGGCAGGGCTAAGTCAAATATGGACAGTTTTGGATTTTTAAGGAGCATTTTCGTCACAATGGAAAATAAAGTTGTATGTAACAAATGTTTATGTGATGTTTTTTGTTTTTAAACAATATCTTTTATTCATTCACGGAAGGAAGAAAACAAGTGTAATTTTTTATTGCGACAGTTTGGCCTAATCACCCGGTGTTTAGGCCTACCATTAGAAGAGTGTTGGTAAAATGGGTAGGCAAACCCGAACCGGAGCAAATAAAATAACCGGGTCTGGTAGCGAATTTTACAAAAATTCTCTCTTAATACTTTATCAAAATGGAACTTAAATTATCAGATTTTGTTTGTTAGGTTTATTTGTAATAATCGCTAATTTGGATATTGAAAAATTGCGGTCAGCCCCTGTTATTAATTTTACCGCGGCCCGGGTTCGCCAACCCATTTTACCAACACTCTCATATTAGTACGTCCACGCATGCGTGAAAGCGATCGTCTGGAGGAAGCATCGAAGACTTGTTTGAGTGTCCTGAATTATTACAAAATTTACGTTTTTTTCACAGGTCTAGGTTTGGCATTTCGAACGGTGGGTTTGAGTGTTACGGATTTTAGGGTTACATAGTATGGAATATTACGTGCTTTTTCGAATACATCACATTCTTTTTGTTATCCATTACATTCGTTTTAGCTTTGTTATGGGTTATGGCTTATGACGGAGAAGCAGCAGCACCGAAGGAAACATTCGTTCGAACGGTGTTGAATTTGCATTTTATGTGGAGTAATAAATTATGTACATAGATGTCTATTATTATTTGTTATTTTTACGTATTTTGTATTAAATATAGATTGAAAAGGTTAAATCTTTGATTGAATATTGTTCCAAGATTTTTACTGGCAACTGGAAGTTTCGTCCCACCCTATTGACGATTCGAGCAGAGACTTCATAAGTATATGGTTCATTCTTATATTTGTGTGTATAATCATAATTTACATATCAAGTATTAGATGGAATGTTCTATCGTTAACATGAAAAAGGTCCTACAAGGGTGTGTCACCAGATATAGTAAGATTTTTTTAAATAAGTATAGTTGCTTTGATTAAAGTACTCAAAAAAAGATGTTCATTATTTTGTCAGTTGATTCTTTAAGTTTATATTTTTCAATTCATTTATTCCTGCACTTGGTGGTAACTTGATGGTTCGCACCTATGCAGGGTTAGCCCTGCACTGTTTTGCACCAACTCTGTTTTGGGCTGAGATTGTTCACCCCATATTGTTTCACTCAAAATACTTAAATGTGCTCCTGAGTTAATTTCATTTAACAGCTGTTAAAAGATATTTTTTTTTAATTCAAGAAGATGAAATATTTGAAGCAGAGACGTAAATAATTTATGTCTGTATTTAAAATTATGAATTATTTTAACACAATGCTAATTCTAGTACTGCCATCTAATTATAGGTAATTATTGCTGGCATGGATTACCCAACGTCAATCAACAATATAATTATAAATGATGTAAATAAATTTTCTCCTTATGATCTGGTTGCACACGATCCACTACATTTGGCATTGCATATTATTAAGTCATGAATTTGAACACACAACATACATTTATATCATATATTTGAAAAATAATGGACCCAAATGTGATTGAATATTAACTATAAAACATGGGATGTTATGCACTGATATAGGCACGAACCATCTCAGCGTGAAACAGAATCGGTGCAAAACATTCAGGATTCCACCTGGCTACTAGCAAATAAGTATATATTTAAAAAAACACTTAAATAAGTTGCAGAGTCTCAGAGCAGTTTGGCAAATGAAATTACTGGTATGCTAATAAGTATGAGTGCAGGACAAAATTAACTCTCCAAATACACAGCTTACAATATTAATTCAATAATTGCTTGTATGAAAAAATAAACTTATTATTTCCAGAGAGTACTTGCAATTTTATAAGGTTTATAACATTACGCAATGTTACTCCTGTCTAAAATATAATGTCAATGTGAACATATGTAACTGCTTAGTACGAACATGGATATTGTGAATTCACAAATATAGAGAAGTTATCGTGGATCCCCATTTATATAAATTTAACAAATTTCTCACATGGATATAACGAATTAAGGATATAGCGAAGTAAAAATTTCATAGGTCCCATTGACTTCGTTATAACCAAGTTTTGCTTTATTAACAGAATGAATTTTTATGCCTCCGTAAACGAAGTTTCGGGGGTATATAGTTTTTGTCGTGTCCATCTGTCTGTCTGTCTCTCTGTCTGTTTGTCCGCAAAAACTTTAACCTTGTCCATAACTTTTGATTTAGTGGAGCTATGACTTTCATATTTCACATGTGTATTCCTTGTGACAAGACCTTTCTTTGGGTACCACCAAATTTGACCTTTTGACCTTGACCTTGGGAGTTTGACCCACTTTTACATGAAAATTTTAAAATTTTACTTTGGCCATATCTTTTGAACAGTAGACACCAGGACATTTATACTTCACATATATAATGTTTGTTGAAAGACCTTTCACTGGATACCAACAACCTTGACCCTTTGACCTTGACCTTGTAGATTTCCGTACTTGTGAAAAATCTTTAACTTTGGTCATAACTTTTGAACGGTTAGGGTTAGGGCTTTCATACTTCATATATGTAATCCTTGTGAGAAGACCCTTCATTGGATACCAAGAACTTTGACCCTTTGACCTTGACCTTTGAGATTGACCTACTTTAAAAAAGCAAATCTTGACCCTTACTTTTAAAGATTAGAGCTAGTGCTTTCAGACTTTACTTATTTGATCTTTATGACAAGACCTTTCATTTGATAACAATAACTTTGACCTTGACCTTGGAGTTTGACCTACTTTTTAAGAAATTGTACGTTGACCATAACTTTTGAACAGTAGACACCAGGACATTTATACTTCACATTTGTAATGTTTGTTGAAAGACCTTTCACTGGATACCAACAACCATGACCCTTTGACCTTGACCTTTTAGATTTCCTTACTTGTGAAAAATGGGGACATTAACATCACGGTCATGCAATTACAGACAGCAGGGCCTACTAATTTTAGAGGTCGGGCTATCATAAATCTATACTGCGTTAGCCTGTCACTTGCTGTGAGGCTAGTAAATCTAAAATGAAAGTATAGGTATATTTGCATTGACTGAGTTTATGAAATTTGGTACTGGTATTCAGATTTATCATAAGAATATCTAGGTGAAGTTCTGTTTGTGGTACGATCAAGTCATTTTTGACAGTTATGCGGAAAAGGGTGGCATAAGTGTTTTACAAACTTTCTAGGTATCTTTGTTTTGCCCCTTGATTTTGTAGAAAT